ACCTGCGGACATAGCTTCACGCCTGCGGTGGAAACGGACCAGGCTACTTCCAGCAGACTCAATACAAGTCCCTCGCCGATCAAAAGGGCGTTATCCTCATCTTCCCCTCATCCCAAAAGGACTTTAACTGCTGGGACGTCGCGAGCACCAAGACCCTCAAGCACGACGGTCAGGGCGACAGCCAAGTTCTCGTCAGCATGGTCGACTACATCATCAACACATACAGAGCCGACCGCAACAAAGTTTACGTTACGGGTACCAGCTCCGGATGCATGATGACCAATGTCCTCGCGGCGACGTACCCAGACCGTTTCGCCGCTGCGACATGCTACTCTGGCGTTGCAGCCGGTTGTATGGCAGGATCTCCCGGTTCAAGCCCCATTAGTTCGGACCGTGTTTGCTCTGATGGAAAGATCATCAAGACGGGACAGCAGTGGGCTGATCAGGTCAAGGCGATGTATCCTGGGTACAGCGGGGCGTACCCGCGCTTCAAGACCTGGCACGGCACTGCGGATAATCTTGTTTATTACAGGAATCTTCTTGAGCAGATTAAGGAGTGGTCGACGCTTCAGGGTGTTTCGTTTAGTCGTAACGAGACTAACACTCCTCAGTCGGGCTATACTACCATGATTTACGGAGACGGAACTAAGTTTGTTGCTGTTTCTGCTGCTGGAGTTGGACATGTCGTGCCTACTCATGAGGATCTTGACTTCAAGTGGTTCGGTCTTTCTTAAGAGCCGCTGTTGTTGGAAACCCGCTGAAGAGAGATACTGTCAGATGCTGAGTTGATGCTAGGGAGGGAAAATGTTATGATCCACGTGGAGGAGAGAAACAAGAGCAACATCAAGGGTAGGATAAAGGGCAAATTGTGTACATAGTTTTTCTACTACATTCTTCTCAGTACATAACAACTTCATTCGTTTAGCCAGGTCGCTACTGGCTTTCATACTGCCGAGATCTTCATTCCCCTCGATTGTGGAGTAGTACCCACCGCTTGATACCTGGAGGAATCAACGCCAAGGCGGCTTATCGTCAAAGCAATGCCTCTGGGCTATAGTCTCGATGAAATAAAAAGTCAATTAGAATAACAATACGCTGTTTTATTAATAGATCATGCCTTTAAAATAGTCCACGCTATTCTCCACGTTCTTGTTTCATCTTCATTCCTCCGGCGCACTAACAGGTCCAAGTCCCAACGCCAAAACTCAAAATGCTCTGAAACGCAAGACTTAGCGCACCTGGACAGTTTAGCGCAGTCTAAAACAGCGAAAAACGTGGAATAACATTTGAGGGTGCATAAACCAGCACAGAATCTCATCATAATCTTTAATTTTATCATCAATCTCGGCATGAGTAAACAAAATGCTTGCTTAGATTGGCCATTTTCTTACCCAAGCGTTGAAACTGATATAACGAGCTGTTTCATCATGATCATCCCAGCAGCCAAACTACAGGATATTCTCCCAGCTATCGCAGATCAAGTCATTCTTTACAATGGTGCCTCAACCTCTCAACCTTGCCAAGAGCTCTTTTCTCTCAGCTCCAGCTGCACGAGCCTTTGGACCCAAGACACCAACAGATATACCCAACTTCACCCAGACCTCAAGTCCCCCATGCATCATGGCTCCAAGACAGCGTCGCCGCGCTACAGTCATCGCACTCAACGGCAGAACACCGCCCCACTTCGCGTTACACTCTCCCCCTCGCAGACGCAAAAGCGCGACAGAACGTCGCAAGAGTTTGCAGCCGCATTTCTGCTCAGCTCAGAATCTTACGTTGCGCAATCCGAGCAATGGACTCCTGCAAAAGGGCTCTGCGAAATGCGACAGTTCATGTGATGGCACTTCGGGTTGGGATATACAATTGACCGAGCTGTGCGTCGAGAAGCCAGATCGCGGGGCTTTACGATCTCCGGCGTTGTTTGCGCCTTGTCGCTGGAGTATTCCTTCACCGACGCCAGGGAGTTCTTTTGAGAATAGTGATCAGGTTTATCAGTTTCGAGATCACTGTGATGGAAATCGTAAGAGCAGGCGGGCTACGTGGGCATTTGATGTGGATGGGGTCCCGAACAAATTGCCGTCTTGTCCCTTTTGGACATATTCATAGTATCCAGAGATGCTGGTGTCATCAACGGAGGGGAGTGTTCGGTTTTTTGTTGACCTTGAGCTATCCGAGCTGCGATTGATGGCCAGGTATTCGTTCTTGGGCAATTTCTATGTAAGGAGATGAGAAGCTGTATTTGCGAGCAACATGATTTATTCAATTTGACATTTATACAAAATTAAAGGTGGCATATCGTATCGCGCTATGGTTGTTGACTAGCTGGCCGGGCTGTGTCGGCGGTCTGAGTCATCCGGTATACGAGCTAATTTTTGAGTCAGCCTTACCAAAAGGTGACAAACACCATCTAACATATATCGCTGTACTTCATCATTGTACTTTCCCCTTCTCCATATTTCTCTTTTCCTGCCAATCAATCTTTTTTACGAGGTCAATCACAATGCGGCCATCACCACTCGAGAGATCGCGTCTCTGCGATGCATGCACCCACGCATGTTCAATGTCCATCGTCGGCTGTACACAATATACCTGTCAAACCCACCGATCCCAATTCCTCAAAAATAATCCGAACCCTTATATCAGTACCTGGGATGCTCTGAACGACACATCGCGCTGGGCGAAATGGTCAAAGTCAAAGCGCGACTTTCTGGAGGAGACGAATTCATCAGGCTGCCATCTCTGCATCATAATCGCACACGCCTTTGATGAAACCTCTAAAGAGATCTTTCAGAATCTTGGTAGTGATGAGGTTGTACGGCTTTGTTTTAAATATCGCACTGTTGAGCGAGATCCAAGCGGGAAGTTGGGTTTCGATGAGAGGACAAATATGGCGATTACGGATATTGCGTTGGGAATTGATTTACCTGATGAGTTTTGGCTGGCGATTAGGTCGGATAACGGGTCAGCGTTGGAAGATGTGTCGTTTGATCTGCGAATGCGGCCACTTGAAGGTCAATTTACGAGGGGGCATGGGTGCAAAGAATATGACTG